ATGACAAACTTTTAATTATAATGTAAATATGCTATTTCAAAGTAAAATTTAATAATTTAAAATTAAAATTTACATAGAAATAATAAAAAGAGACATTACTTTATAAAAATTTTAGCAGTACCGTAATATACCGTATGTTCAAAAATGCAAATCATTTTCTTGATTTTAACACGTCCCCTTCATAGCGATATTATATGACAAAAACTCTTCGATAACTTTAAACTTACCACACACACACACACACACACACAAAAGCCCTTTTTAAAATAAAATAATTATTTTAACCAATTATGCAAATGATGTGTGTGGGCATCCAAATAAAAATTAATACATTCCATCCGAATATTCAAATTAAATCGTTTTAATCTAAAAATCCATTCTCAACACTTAATTATAAAGTGAATATGATATTTTGAAGCAGAACTAAATAACTGAAAATTTAAATTTACATAGAAATAATACAAAGAAACATTAGTTTACAAAAATTTTAGCGATTCCGGAATATGCCGTATGCGCAGAAATGCAAAAACCTTTCCAAAGTTTAATATTACGTCGCTCTAATAGCAGGATAATATGAAACAAATAATTCCTCGATACCTTTTGACTTACCAGCAGCTTTTTTAAAAATAAACTTACTTCAAGTTTCAATGCAAATATGGATGTGAAAACCTAAACCAAAATTATTGACCTGATTGTTATATTCGAAGACACAATTTACATAGCTTTAATCCAAATGTCGAAATATCAGCTCTTAACACGTAATTATAATGTGAATATGATCTTTCGAAGTAGAAGCTAATAACTGCAAATTAAAATTTATAATGAAATAATACAAAAAGACGATAATTTAAAAAATGTTGTCGGTCCCGAAACATGCTATATATATGTTCAAAAATGGAAACATCTTTCGAGAATTTAAAACGTATTACGTCGCTAATAGCAGGATTATATAAAATAAAATTTTCGTTAACGTTAGACTTATCAGAAGCTTTTTTAATACGTAAATATAATTTGAATATGATCTTTCAAATAGAAATTACTGAAAATTAAAATTTATATAGAAATAATAGAAAGAGACATTACTTTACAAAAATTTTAGCGGTCCCCGAATATGCCGTATGTCCAAAAATGCAAATATCTTCCCATAATTTAAAACTTATTATGTCACTCTAATAGCAGGATTATCTGAAACAGAATTCTCGATAACTTTTAGACTTACCACAAGCCTTCTTAAAAATAAACTTACTTCAAGTTTCAATGCAAATGTAGGTGAGCTTTAATTCAAAAATTAGCTCTCTCATATAAGTATAATGTGAATGTGATCTTTCGAATAGAAATTAATAACTGGAAATTAAAATTTATATAGAAACAGTACAAAGAAGCTATATAATTTAAAAAAAAAACGGTGTCGGAATATATCGAAACATGTCGTATGTTCAAAAACGCAAATAATTTATTTGAATTTAAAACGTTCCCCTCATAGCGAAATTATATGACAAAAAGGTTTTGATAACTTTAAACTTATCAGAAGCCCTTCTAAAAATAGAATTATTATTTCAATCATTAATGCAAATAATGTGTGTGGACATCCAAATAAAAATTAATGCATTACACCCGAAGATTTAATTTAAATCGTTTTAATCTAAAAATCCATTCTCAACACTTAATCACAAATGACATTTAATTAAATATGACATTTCGAAGTAGAATTTAATAACTGAATATTAAAATTTATGTAGACATAATACAAAATACATAAGACATTAATTTACAAAAATGTTAATGGTCCCGGAATAGGTCGTATGTTCAAAATGCAATTACCTTTCCAGAATTTAAAACTTATAACGTCGCTCTAATAGCAAGATTATATAAAACAAAATTCTTGATAACGTTAGACTTACCAGAAGCCTTCTTAAAAATAAATCTACTTCTCAAGTTTCAATGCAAATATAAATGTGAAAAACTAAACAAAAAATTATTGATTTTACTGTTACATGCGAAAACAATTTACATAGTTTTAATCCAAGCATCAGCTCTCAACGCGTAATTATAATGTAAATATGATCTTTTAAAGTAAAAATTAATGACTGCAAATTAAAATTTATAATGAAATACAAAAAAGCGATAATTTAAAAAAACTGTCGATCCCGAAACATGCCGTATGATCAAAAATACAAATAATTTTTCTGAATTTAAAACGTCCCTCTCATGGCGATATTACATGACAAAAAATCCTCGATAACTTTAAAATTACCAGAAGCAAATAATGTGTGTGAACACTCAAACCAAAACTAATGCATTTTATATCCGATGATTTAATTCGTTTTAATTTAAAAATCCATTCTCAACACTTAATTATAATGTGAATATGATATTTCAAAGTAGAATTTAATAATTGAAATTAACATTTATATAGAAATAATACAAAGAGACATTACTTTACAAAAATTGTAGCGGTCTCGGAATATGCCATGTGTTCAAAAATGCAAATATTTTTCCAGAATTTAAAACTTATTAAGTCGCTCTAATATCAGTATTATATAAAACAAAATTCTCGATGACTTTTTTTAGACTTACCAGAAGCCTTCTTAAAAATAAATCTACTTCAAGTTTCAGTGCAAATGTGGGTGTAAAAACCTAAACCAAAATTATTAACTTTACTCTTATGTAAGAAGATCGATTCAATTCGCATGGTGTTAATATAAAAATCAATAACATGTTAACAGTTAATTATATGTAAATATGGTCTTTTGAAGTAGAATGTAATAACGGAAAGTTAAAATTTATACCAAAATAATACAAAGAAACATTACATTTAAAAAATTTTATCCGTCCCGGAACATGCCGTACGTTCAATAATGCAAATAATTTTTCTATAACCTAAAAACATAATACTCACTCTAATAGCAGAATTATTTGAAGCAAAATCCCCGATACCAGTAGCCTTCTTAAAATAAAATAAAACTACTTCAAGTTTCAATGCAAATGTGTATTTGAAAACCTAAACTAAAATTTATTGACGTTATTATATATCCGAATTTAAGATTCAAATCATATGATTTTACTTCAAAAGTTAGCTCTCAACATATAATTATATGTAAACAAGTTTTTTTGAAGTAGAATTTAATAATTAAAAATTAAAATTTTTATTTGACAGAACGAGATATGCGATATCTAAATCACACAGGAAAAAATATAATACTGCACATCGTGTATTTGCACGAGACAAACTTTTATATCAATATGGCGAGAGATAACTAATTATAAATCAATATAGATGATCGATCGAGACAATCAAAAACGTTATAAACGGCGACACCACATTTTGTCTTAATTGGCTAGCTTAGCAATTGTTATAGCAGATGTGGATCGCTAATGCTCTAACAATTTCGCAAGAACATATAATTCAAAACTTAAAAGTGAAACTTAAATTTCAATTTTATAATTTCTTATTTTATTAAATATATTATGTAATAAATGTATTTTGCTTTACTTATAAGAAAAGAAAACTTATTGTTAACTTTTATTGCTAATAAGTAATATTAGCATATATATAATAAGAAATAAACTTGGACATTTCATAACAAATTAATGCAGTAATTGAAACTTACAATAGAGAAACTAAAAAATAAAAAACATTCTGCCTTCAAAAATAAAAATACATATCTTAATTTTAGTAATTAAAATTTATAATCAAAAAGTTAATAGACTCAAAAATTAAAAACATATTATTTTAAAAAATAAAAATGCATATCTAAAATGGCATAATTGAAATTTGTAAAATCAAAATCTTAATAAACTCAAAAATCAAAAATAGGATGCCGTAAAATATAACAATACATCTTAAAAATTAAATGTAGATACATTTACTCAAAAGTCTTATTTTTTTTTAATTGGTTGTGTAACCATGTTTTTATGACATCAGTTTTTCTATCTCTTAGAACATTATATTTCATTTTAACTTTTTCTATCTCCGATAAAGGTGGTAATATTCCTTTACGTGTATAATGTGAAAAATATGTTTTTGCATTTTTTATCTCTTCATTTGTCCATCGTTTTTTTTTCTTATATGTTTCACGACCTGTAATACAAATAATTCATGATAAAAAATAATTGAAAGAGATCTTGATGTAACATCTAATTATTATATAGTTACATGATTGATTTTTGCGCTTCCTTTTTCTGTTTTCGCTGTTTATACTTTCATTAGAACTGTTTGAGCTCATATTCATTACATAATCTGATATGTCACTATCTGAATCTTTTCCTATTAAAAAAAACTATAATATAAACATGAAATCCAAATGTAAAGAGAATAAGAAAAAGAGATCAAATTATATTTTAAAATATACATTTTGTTTAACCTAATTGTTTTTATTTAGATATAAATATGTAATAAAAAAACTTTTGATTATTAATTCACACATTGATACAAATAATTTTGATATATACTATATATATATATATATATATATATATATATACTTACGATAAATTAGACCTTTGTTTTTAGAATAAATATTTCGTTTCTTTCGTAGATTTGAAACTTGTTTGCTCTCTCTGTCTCTTTCTAGATTAAATTTAAATGTTATTTAATTTTAATTTTATTGTTATTAAAATCTTTTTAAGGGGATACATCTTATATAGATCAAAATAATAAATAAAAGGAAAATTATTTAATAAAAGAAAATAATATAAAAACAATATACCTTTATCTTTATTCTTCTTCTGTTCGGTTTGTATTTTTTTTATCACGTTATTTTGTTTTCTTTTATTTTGCGGAATTTGTTTTTGCTTTATTTCTTGTTTCTTTTTTTTCGGTATTTCCTTATTTTTTTTCGTTTCTACTGAGGTATCAATAGTTTCTTCATTTGTATCGACAAATGTTTGTGAGATATCAGTAGATACTTCATTTAAATCGACAATTGTCTGTGTTATATCTAATAAACAAAAATATAATTAGTAAATTAAAAATAATCTTTAATTATAGTTAGTAATGTTTAAGTATAGTTGCTATAACCTTGATTATTGAAAGAAAGATTATCCTTTTCATTGTTCATAGTTACATCAGTTTCGTTAGAGGTTGTCGTATCCACACCTTGAGCTTTTTCTAAAATTTTTGACATTTCTAGTATATCAACTTTAGCAACAGGTTGTCTGTAAATTTCTTTGTGTATATGTTCATGATGACCCATAAAGTTTGCTACCCTTGTTACTTGATTATCTGATAAATTTAAATCCACACATTTTGTTGCGACATGTTTGCGCAAAGCAGTACCACGAAGGGAGGAAATATTTTTAGCTCCACATTCACTTGCAAAACCTCGCATTAGTTTACAAGCTCTTAAATGTTTATAGTGATCTTTGTTAACACTAGGTAATCCAAACACGAAAGGATTATTTGGTGGCACCTTAGCATTTGTCCGAAATTGTAATAAAAGTTGAATACTTTTGAACATTTGCGCATCTAATAGTACTGGAACTGTTCTATTTAATTTACCGCGAATAGTAAATCTAACATATTTATGAGTTGTGCCGGTTTGTGTAGAAAATTTACATATAGTGTTAGGTCCACAGGCGCATTCATGGTTTTTATAGTCATTAATTAAAATTCTTTCAGTTTCTCCGGCTCTACGACGATTAAATACTTGAATGGCTATGAGTGTTGCTTCAGCTAGTGCTTTACATACTTCATATGAAAATTCTTTTGATAATACTTTAATATTTTCGTGTATTTTTTTTTTCAAATAGTCACTTAAAATTTTAATATCACTTGTTCGAGGCAATACTATCTTTTTGTGCCGTTTTACTTTTGTATGAGTTTCTATCACCACTTTATTTACAGTTCCACTAAAATCTACATCATAAATCTTCATAAAATCCTCAACATTTTTCCGTTTTATTAAATCATTGTCTACCATGTATGTAACATCTAAGATTTTACCGATCTTTTTTATACAAGTGCCGAGAGTAGATGCATTAGTTGGACGTTTATACATGTTTGTTTTGTAATCAAATTCTGCGATATCATTAATTGCCTCAATTACTGTTTTATAAAATTGTGGATCATATGCAGCAGCTATAGTATTAATTTCGGAGTTTCGATTTCTCAAAGCTAGTACGAAACGACCTAAAAGGCGTAAATGAGCTCGTATATAATTATTCTGATGTTGATGAACTTGGCTTTTGCACATATTATTTCCATATAAAATAATTGCACGGTCATATCTTATAGCTTTGGATATTTCATCTTCTTGTAAGACCGGTAATATTTCTACTCTCATTCTTCTGCTTGTTTCTGGATGATATCTGCCAAGAACCCTTCGAGCATTTTGTAAAATTTGTCGAGAGGAACTTGAACTTGAATTTTTATTGTCCTTACATTGTTGTACATGATGTCTTAAATTATTTTGCGCATAAAATCCATTACAATAAGGACAATTAACAAAATTTGTACCATTCCGTTTAGTCTCTTTTGTAGGTCTTCTAACAGTTATCAATTTCCCATGATTATAGTCCTTTGTTGCGTTGAAAATAAAGTTTCCTTTTTTTCTTATGCTTGCTATTTTGTGCCAACGTTCAGCACATCCTTTTGGTAAGTTTAAGAAATCTTTAACTTGATCTTCATCACAGTGTTTATTTTCCAAATGACGCGCTATTTTAGTTTGTAAAGTCTTGCAAAATACACAAAAATTTTTTTTGTTATCACCTTTAGGACCATTTGACATTTCAGCAGTTAATTCCAAATCATTACATGCACTATTTCCAGGAACATTAAATTTTAATTGACTATATTCATCGCTTTCGGATGCACTGTTTGTTTCATTAATACTATTATTATTAATATCAGAATCATTTGCCGTTACTTCTGTATTATTAATTTCTGATGAACATTGAGTTTCATCAGTTGGGTTGTATTCACTGGTATTTTGAGTTTCACTCATTTTTAAACTCTTATTGCTATCATCTAAAATAAAAAATGTATATAAACAGTATATCTAAAAGTATATCTAAAATCGTGTAGCTAAACAATTTAGTATATAGGATGTCCTAAAATCATTTGGAAACGATTTCTCCTCTGTGAAAATGTCGAGGCACCAATAGTTTCCTAATTATAATTAATTAAGAAAGAAGGGTGTTTCGTAAATTATACTCTGTAGAGATAAAATGTTAATAAAATTAAGTTATTCAGTTAATTTCAAGTAGAGTTTATTTTAATAGAATTTTAAGGTTTAATTAAGAAAGCCCATGGCGACAAAAAATATAATCTTGTAAAAAAAGTAATGACACTTTCGCAGAGAAAAAATCTCCAAATGGCCTCAATAATCTGTCATCAAGAAGAGGAACTCTAGTTGTGAAACACACGATATATATGTAAATATATACTATATCAGATAAAACATATTCCAGTATCTTATTTTTAAAATAAATTAATAAATATAATTAATTTTTATAAATAAATATAAAATATCTAAAATCTTTATAAATTATTTTCTACCACTTACCACAGTTTGATAAATTTAAAAATGATGTAGATTTCTCATTAGATAATTTAAATTTCGAATATTTATTTCTTGTTGTAGATTTAAGTATTCTTTTTCGTTCCATCTCAATGTTTGTTGGTGTTGTTTTTAAGATAGCATATGATTTATTACATACAATATTTTCAGTAATTTTTGGCGTTATTTTCTTTGAATTACAATCATTAAAATGCGTACTGATTTTCTGATGTGTGTCTTTAGAATACAAAAAACAATTATTAAAAAATTTACACTAATATTTATACTAATCTAATATACAAAATATTTTAAAAAATAATTTACCTTTAATTTCTGCATGAATAATAGGAGAGCCAATATTAATCATGTTTTGATTTATATTCTCTTTATCTTGTAGATCAATTGATATTAATTCTTCATTGTTATGTATATGCATTGGCGAGTCTTTATTTTCAGTAACAACAAAATTGTTATTATTCATATAATTTCCATTTAAATTATTTTCAGTCAATTCATTATTTGCGTTGCTATGCGTTTGTTGATCAATATTAAAAAGTAACTCACACATATTTTCTGATATTGAAGATTCTTTATTTAAAATGAATATTAAACTTGAATCTATAATATCACTTATATTGCTAGATGTATTAGCTTTATCATTGCACTCATTCACTGTGCTTTCAGTGACATCTAAATTTACTTTTTCGCTGACATCTAAAGCAGTTTCTATTATTTCACTGACATCTAAAGTAGTTTTCACTCTTTCATTGATCTCTAAAGTAGTTTCTGTTCCTTCACTGACATCTAAAGCAGCTTTTATTCTTTCGCTGACATCTAAAGCAGTTTCTATTCTTTCGCTGACATCTAAATCAGTTTTCACTTTTTCATTGACCTCTAAAGTAGTTTCTGTTTCTTCACTAACATCTAAAGTAGCTTTTATTCTTTTGCTGACATCTAAAGCAGTTTCTATTCTTTCGCTGACATCTGTAGTAGTTTTCACACTTTCATTGACCTCTAAAGTAGTTTCTGTTCCTTCGCTAACATCTAAAATAGCTTTTATTTCTTCATTGACCTCTAAAGTAGTTTTTATTCCTTTGCTGATATCTAAAGTAGCTTTTATTTGTTCGCTGATATCTAAAGCAGTTTCTATTCTTTCGCTGACATCTAAAGTAGTTTTCACTCTTTCATTAACCTCTAAAGTAGTTTCTGTTTCTTCGCTAATATCTAAAGTAGCTTTTATTCTTTCACTGACATCTGAAGTAGTTTTCACACTTTCATTGACCTCTAAAGTAGTTTCTGTTCCTTCGTTAACATCTAAAGTAGCTTTTATTTTTTTATTGACCTCTAAAGTAGTTTTTATTCCTTTGCTGATATCTAAAGTAGCTTTTATTTGTTCGCTGACATCTAAAGCAGTTTCTGTTCTTTCGCTGACATCTAAAGTAGTTTTCATTCTTTCATTAACCTCTAAAGTAGTTTCTGTTTCTTTGCTGACATCTAAAGTAGTTTTCATTCTATCACTGACATTTAAAGTAGTTTTAATTTTTTTGCTGTTATCTAAAGTAGTCTGTATTCTTTCGCTGACATCTAAAGAAGTCTCCATTCTTTTGTCATCTAAAGTAATTTCTGGCTCACAATTGCTACTTGTAATAAAATTGTTATTATCCACATTAGCTAAACTTGTCTTCTCTTTATGTTTTGCAATGTCTACTAGTTTGATTGCTACATTTCGTATTTTAAAATTTTTTTCTGAAACTGATTGGCTTGGATGATCAATGTTTTTCTTATTTATAGGTCGCTGTTTAGTACCTTTATTTAAAAATAATATATTTATTTATAGTATAAAGTAAAGTAATATATGCATTAAAAGTATATTATACGTAATATAATAAAATTGAAGTAATTAGCAATTTTAAAGAAATATTTTTATAAAAGATTAAGGTGCATGAAAATATTATATCAAGTAATATATGAAAAACAAACTACTTTCTAATTTCATTAAAAAATCACTCTTCAAAATATTATGGAAATAATAAGCGTGATCTACAATACGTGGAGTAAGCCTGGCGTAAAGAGTAATAATATTTTCGAGGAGGTTATTTTCAGTTTAAAAAGCTGGATTAAGGACATAAGCGTAAGAGTAAAAGTAGGAGTAGTAAGAATACAATTAATTTATTTCGTTTACGCCGTTAATTCAACTTGTTTAAACCGAAAATAATCTTCTTATTTTTCTACTCTTACTCGATCCTTACGCCAACCTTACTTTTCACGTATTGTAGACCACGCTTTATTACAAGCAGAGAAAATAACGTAAATTATTACACGTCAGACGTAATTAATAAAATATTTTCTTACGTTTTGCTGGCATTTTTATTCTTTCGTAACACTCAGTAAGTTAAATTAACGGTTGTTCGTGATGGAATACATCAAGAACTTTAGTTGTTAAGACGAGCCGGGTTTTTCCCGCGGCGGGACCATAATAACGATATCGGTAGAAAGTAAAGCGAGTCATTTTCATGGATGCGCAGTAGATCAACCAATCACATTCGGCCCATTTCATGAAAATTCAATATGACTGATAGCAAGTCACAAAGGTAGTAAAAATTACATTTTTATATATATGTATATCGTATATATATATATATATATATATACAGAATGTCTAGTAAGAATTGTATCAACGCTCGTGAGAGCGGAGAAAGGTATAGTAAACTGAAGAAAAAAGTTCTTTATTTTTTTTGAAAATTTTGTAATAATTATTGAGATATTAATTAAAAAGAATTGGCAAATTTTTGTTGTTAGCAGTTTTTATCAGTATCCTATATTTATATTCTCCAATAATTTATTTCCTCCAATTATTTACTTAATTTAAATATATTTATGTCTTGAAATAAATCAAAAGTATGAAAAGGGTGAAAATGTCCCGGAAACTACTATTCCGAATCTAATGTCCTGGAAACTGTTATGTCCTGGAATCTACTAATATATAAATTTCCTGGAAACTGCCATGTCCTGGAATCTACCAGTCTGTGAATGGCCTGGAAACTGCCATGTCCTGGAATCTACCAGTCTGTGAATGGCCTGGAAACTGCCATGTCCTGGAATCTACCAGTTTGTGAATGGCCTGAAAACTGCCATGTCCTGAATCTACCAGTCTGTGAATGGTCTGGAAACTGCCATGTCCTGGAATCTACCAGTCTGTGAATGTCCTGGAAACTGCCAAATTCAATTTTTCCTTAGAAAGGATAAAAATACATCTCTTTTATTTAAGTAGGAGTTATTAAATGGCAAGAGAAATATTTTAGAACCATTTTTATTTTCTGTACCGGAAACTGCCACTGGACATATATATATATGTATATCCCAGCAAACACAAAATAAAAGTAATATATATATATATATATATATGTGTGTATATACAGGGTGGGCCATTTCAAAAAATACGATCGATTTTTTCGTAAACTACGCGAAATATCGAAAAATGGTTCAGACATGTGTTGTATGGTTTCGAAGGAGCTATAAGATGCCATTGGTTTGACCTTGGATATTCATTTGAAGATCACGTGAAAGTCACCTCAATTTTTTTAAATGGCACCCCCTATTTTTTATTACATATTCTTGTAGCTGACCTCGAGAGCTTTCCAAAACACTATAGTCAAATGTTTTTCCATTGCGTACTTTTCGAGTTATAAAGCTCGAAAGTTACTACATTTTGATAAAAATACAAAATATTTCTTAAAATATTCATTTTCCGATAGTCTCATTTTACATGCTGCGACCAATCAGAGCAAAGTCCAAGCATTATTCAGCTAGTCAAGACAAGATTCGGACACGATCCAGCCAGTCAAAACAAGATACGAACTCGATCCATCCAGTAAAGGCAAGATACGAACACAATCCAGCCAGTCAAGGCAAGATACGAACACGGATCCAGCCAGTCAATGCAAGATACGAACACGGATCCAATCAATCAAGGCAAGATACGAACACGATCCAGCCAGTCAAGGCAAAATACGAATACGGATCCAGCCAATCAAAGCAAGATCTGGACACGATCCATCCAGTAAAGGCAAGATACGAACACGATCCAGCCAGTCAAGGCAAGATACAAACACGGATCCAGCCAGTCAAGGTAAGATCCGGACACGATTCAGCCAGTCAAGGCAAGATCCGGACACGATCCAGCCAGTCAAGGCAAGATACGAACACGATCCAGCCAGTCAAGGCAAGATCCAGCCAGTCAAGGCCAGATACGAACACGATCCAGCTAATCAAGGCAAGATACGAACACGATCCAGCTAATCAAGGCAAGATACGAACCCGGTTTAGCCAGTTAAGGCAAGATCTGGACACGATCCAGCCAGTCAAGGCAAGATCTGGACACGATCCAGCCAGTCAAGGCAAGATACGAACACGGATCCAGCTAGTCAAGGCAAGATAGGAACACGGATCCAGCCAGTCAAGGTAAGATCCGGACACGATCCAGCCAGTCAAGGCAAGATACGAACACGATCCAGCCAGTCAAGGCAAGATACGAACACGGATCCAGCCAGTCAAGGCAAGATACGAACACGGATCCAATCAGTCAAATTCCAATAATCAAGGATCCAATAAGTACACACTATAGTGTGTACTTATATATTTTCAATAAATGAATAACCAGTTTTTGGTTAAATTAAATTGCATCTTATTATTTGTTAAAATTTATCACTGGCAATCAACAATTAATTGTGAAGATTTCTTATTTGCTATTTCTTTTATTTCTGAAAAAAAATAAAAAACACAAAAGAATATCCTTAAAATGCTTCATATATAGCCACGCAGGACATCCTTAAGAGATCCAAAAAACATCCTCAGGTGTTTGGATTTGTATATATCCTAAATGTATTCCACATATATCCGAGGATATTTAGGATATATTCAGGATCATCCTGAGGATATCTTGTGTTGTTTGGGATCTAACATAATGATTCGTACATTGGGTCCTAAAATTGGGAAAAATTACTGTTATTATATAAATCTTCACCTCCCTTTCTCATTTCCTCTTTTTTAATTTCTTTTTTTCAATTCTTCGATGTCTATAATTTTTCTAGCTCGCAGCGCGCGCTGACACGCGCGCTTTCCTCAATCATTACTTAGATCGCAGTAATATACTCAATCACTTATATCAAAATAAATTTGTTCAATATTAAATTATTATTAACATTTAATTTTTAATGGGAAAATATTTAAACGACCAACTGGCTATTATTAATGGTGTTAATTTATTTGTTGCCGCAACATTTCGACCTTGAATGGGGTTCTCTTCAGTCTAATGTTAAACGTCAATGTTAATTAATACATCTTAAATAACGAGATAGTAGGTATTTGTTCACAACCGTGATGTTAACAATGTTTACCATGAAGCGATACAAAACAAATGAAACCTCGTTCTTTACTTCACATGTGCACTTAAACATGATTTAACATTAACAGTTAATTTAACATTAACAGGTAATGTTAAATTGCATGTTTAAGTGCACATGTGAAGTAAAGAAGGTTTCATTCGTTTTGTATCACTTCATGGTAAACATTGTTAACATCACGATTGTGAACAAATACCTACTATCTCGTTATTTAAGATATATTAATTAATATTGACGTTTAACATCAGCCTGAAGAGGACCCAATTCAGGGTCGAAACGTTGCGGCACAAATAAATTAACACTATTAATAATAACCAGTTGGTCGTTTAAATATTTTCCCATTGGTTTAAACTTACTGGCATTTAACTTTCTTACTTTGATTGAATTTTTAAATTATTATTTTAAATTATTATAAAAATTATATTATTAAATATTATTTTTAATTATATCAAATATTAAAAATAAAAATCTTGAAAATTTTTATTTATTTTATTTATAACACTAGACAACACAACGCTCCCTCAGGGGCACTACGGACTCATCCCCGTAGTGTACGGGTGTCGCAATCCCGAGGTACCCTAGCTGGAGTGAATGGTGATGGATGAACGAGGAGTGATGGGCGTGCAGGCCCTAAAAAGGACTTGTCCACTGCACTAGGTGAAGGAAAACACCGAAGATAACACCCGGGAGGGAGGCCCCGTTAGCTGAGTAAGGCAACCTCCTAAGGGGAAGGAAAACCCCCGACAGAAAAAACCACTTTTCTTTTTTCAGATATGGGAGACACGAAGAAAGAAGCGATCGTCCTGGGATCGGATATCAGGAACCGGCGTGGGGGGGGTGTAGGCCTGGCTCCCTCCTCGTCGTCATCAGATGACAGGTCGTCCGCGGATTTGCCGGCTGGGTCCGCGGATGGAAATGTGACAGTGCCGTGTGAGCTGGATATGGACGAAGTTGAGGATCAGCTCATTGAGCTGACAACAACTTTGGAGGGTTTGAAGCGGGGTGTCGACCCAAGGGAACTTGTGGTCGACATTCACCGATTGCTCCAGGATAATGACATCCGCGAGTTTCGGTTTCTCGGTGCGTATATTCGGCTTGTCAGACACACCGAGAAATTCTTGCAGGATTGCGTGAATGGCAAATCACCGTTTTGCCATTCACATAAGTGTGTGCGGTCTTTCGACCCTATTGAACTGAG